AAAACAAAAACAAACACAAAAACAAAAAAAACAAACAAACAACAAACAAACAAAAAACAACAACAACAAAACAAAACAAAACAAAAAAACAAAAAGAAAAAAAAGAAAGAAAGAGAGGAAAGTAATATAGATCTAGCAGTCTACGGTACAGGACTGTACAAACTCTGTCCACAACTCACCATCATAGCTATAACAATTCTCCGTGGGAAGCATGTGGCACCCCACAGGCCAATGACCCCCGTCGTCCGGACTCTCGGCCAAAGCTGTCTCGCACATAGATCTGCAGGGCAAAGGGAAATCCTTGCCGCTAGACGACACTTTTATATCCTCGGAGCACGGAGGGAGATACAACACACACAAAAACGTGTTGACCAGCCCGTTGTTGTCTGCAATTTTTCCCACTAGGTAGCTGGTCATGGCTTTGTCAGCATCGTCCTGGGTGTAGTGTCCATAGACGTTTGGTAGTTGGGTCAGAGAGTACACCGCAGAGCATTGCGGGACCGTGATGCTTTGGCATCCGCCCTGGCTGCTTCTTTCTTGGTTAAATTCTAAGGAGGACGAAGAGGACGAAGATGACATTGATGAGGCGGACAATGAGGTTGATGATGGGTACCCGTATGTCAGAAGTGCGGTGAGCAAAATTTGGAATGGCGTGTAAAGGGATATTTTGGCCGCCATTGTTGTTGTCTAATTGGGAGGTCACAGGTGAGTCTGGAGCTGTTCCCGCCTTGACGTTTGGATCAGGTCAGATGTGGTTTTGTTGAAACGCCTATCACACTACGCCATATTTCTTCTTCTTCTTTCGCTGAAGATCTGGGGGAAAGAGAAACTACATGTATGATGATTTGACTCAGGTTCGTTCGAAAATGCACTGATTAATTGAGATTATACTTTCCTTTTTGTTTGGGAGTGTAAGTATCATTCGCTATCAGTCTCTCACTCAAACTTACATACACAAACACACTGCACAAACACACATAAGCGCTCACACATGCGCAAATCTAACGCATGAGCGAGCGTGCGCAAACACAAACACACACACACACACA